TATTTGATTGAGAGAATAAGCCTTGTTGGGTTATGAATGATAAAAATGTTTTAGAAATTTATCCAATGGTGACTATAACAAAAGCAGTGATATTGCTTGCCCTTTTGATCAGTTTTGTTTTTTCCCAACTGCAAATTAAATTTTATTTTGTAATCTCATCACACTTCAAACATACTTATAATTGGCACCCTAAAGAAATAGCCACAGGACCACTGCAGGAAATGTTGGGTAAGTGCTTATACTTTTGGAGTTTGAAAAAATATCAGGTCCAGTAATTCAGCCTTTGGATGTGCACAGAGTAGCAGGGGGGAAAAAAGATAATTTACTGTGATGTTAATTCACTTAAATGACTTCTGACTGAAGTTTTCAGTTTGTGTGAGTACTTGAAGAATGTAATTCTATGTGAGTGCTGTTAGGTATGACCTATCTGTGTTTTTTAAGGGATTTAAACCTGGCATGACAGCTAAAGGGAGTTGTGTGTGCTAGAACCTTAAAATACTCACATTTGAATACAGGACTGGACAGTGCTTCGCACGGTAAGAAATCCCTTCACAATAACAGGTGTAATTCCCAATTCCAGACCTACACAGATTTTCTGTTGCTTTATTGTTCAGTTTTGCCAGAAACATATTTTCTGCTCAGCATACACTGTAGATGGCAGTAAGGTTATGCTAGAAAAGGGTACATGGGCTGGAATAAGTAAATTAAAGGAAGTGTGTAAAACCTATGGATGGTTTCAGGTTTTGAAACCTGATGGTGGCAAACACCATCCAGTCCTTTCTCGAGGTGCTTCAAGTAAATATTAGAGCTGCTATAAATAGGTTGGCTTAGAGTCAAAACCTGAAGCCCCTCCAGTTATTCTAACTCATCTACTCTTTTCTCATCTTCTGCATTGTCTATAGTGGCTGATGCCTCTTCTTTCATTATAACCCTTCAGCTTCCCACAGCGCTCTCTCCTTGCTTCCTGCAAATACATTCTCCTGTTGCCCTTCCTCTCATGAGTGCCTTCCCTGGGCAGAAGTTTAATGATCAAAGTATTTTCATCAGTCCTTTACTTGGATGTGGTTGTGTGAACTCACAAACTGCCTGATAGGATCACAGCTCTTGACGTGGGTATTCCTTTGCTTTGTACATACATTTGTATGTGTACACACATGCATATGTCTGTATGTGTAGAAAGTAAAGTTTGGGAGAAATGAACAATATTAGAGACTCATTACCCATGAAATGTATTGGAGACCATTGACCCACTGTAAAAACCCATTCTACAAATGAGATCACAGCAATGCTCCTGTTAAAGCTGAGGATCTCTTTTCCTCGTCCTTGCTCAATATTCAGGACTCAATCCCAGCAGTGCTGTCCTCACTGGGTTTTTTCAATTCCCTTAATGGCTTTGCATTCGCCATGGAAAAGAGATCTTCTGGTGTTCCTTCAGCTCCAGTGATAAAAGAGCCAATATATGTTCAGCCCATGTTGTATCAATTCTCCTGCTTTGGTCCAAGTGTCTTCCTCCTTATTACCTCTCACTCTATCCTAAATTCACTTGTTCTCTCCAGCTTGCTACAGATATTTATCAGCCCTCACCATACAGGTTAATATTGGTATCATTTTTAATGAAATCAGTTAACTGTAAGGAGATGGATATGCGGGTTGTGTGGAGTCTTGCGAGACAATGACTGTGTTGTGATTTCTTCATGGCCATTATCAAAAAAATCCCTCTCTGGTGATGATAGGGATTATATCACATTAAATGGAAATATGCATTATACACTAAGGAACAGTATTGCATTCCTGTCTTTCAAGGATGGGAAATGTATCTAATCCCTGACCACTATTTCTAAAAATGTAAAAAATAAATAATCCTTAAGGTTCAGTTTCTCTTTTTGCCTGCACTTAACTCCTCTACATAATTTTAGAGTATTCATATCATTTACAGCAAGTAAACATAATTCTTTGTAATGGGATTGCCTCTAAATGTAGGATATTCACACTTTTAAAATATTTGTTATGATTTTCAGCTCACTTTTTATCCCTCTGGAAAGTTATAGAAAAGCATTGTGTATTCAGTGAAAAAATAGTAAAATACCGAAATACTCATAACCAACTTTTAAAGACAATTCCTGAAGCAGATGTTCAGTAACAGACATTTCTTATGAAAATAACAGTGGGAAAGAGTTTGGGTTTGTTTGTTTGGCCCTCGAGGAAATTAAAAAGCCTTTCTATAATTTTGATTATAACTTTAAGAGAAAGTTTTATTATATCAAGGATGTGTTTGAATGAAGGATGGAAACCTTAAGGGTTTAAAATCTGTTTTTAAAACTAGAAATTGAACTTCTCTTGTTAATCTAAGGAAGCAAAGTCCTGTGGCAGTTTTCTTTTCTAATGAAAAACATGTAGGTCTGTTATAAAAACTGATAACACAAAAAATGGCATCCACTTTTTCAACACATCTGCTCCCTGAGCATACGTTAGCAGCAGCAGATTCCTGTGAATAAGTAAGTACCTATGATTAATCCTACTAGGGCAGAACAACAGAGAAGTAGTAGGCTTTTACACTTTTTTTTTCCCATTATCAATATAATAATTCACTTCCATTTTAGACTGAAAATCTAGAGAAACTTCAGCTATTTGCTCCAAGCCTCCATTGAGCTGAATTCTATTGGCATTAATGGTGAACTTCCACTGGGATTTTATGGTGGTGCTATCTTAGGATGTCTTCTAAAAATAAATCCTTTGCACTGGTGTAGCTTGTAGGTTCAAGTACAAAAATTATTAATAATGAATTTTTTCTGCTAAAGAAAGGATTTGATCTGACTTCTAGAGTAAGTCTGAAGGGCGGGGAACTAGAAAACTTCTCTTTAATTTTCTCTTCCTGAATCCTTGCATATAGTGCTCTGAAAGATGCTAGCAAGTGAGGGAGACATGGTCTTCTGAAATTCAACAGTGTCACTTTCATGAGGTGATGTTTCAGAACAGGACCACCACTATCCCTGCATCTGCATGTACATAGCAACAGATAAAGCTTTGCTTGTGACAGATGGGAATGATACTATGTTCACAGTCTGTGCACAAGAATTTCTATGAACAAATGAGTTTTAAGGTCTAATTCCAGTTATTAAAGGGGGCTTCCAGAAGGTCAAGGGGCCTTTGTGAGCTTGAGGTCATGGGCATTTATATGTACATCTACCTACTGTGCATTTATAAAGTGGCTGTAGGTCTTGTGTTTTGGAATGGTATCCTCCAATTTAGTGCTCCCACTAAAACCATCCAATGCTCCCTCCCTGTCTTCGCCTCCTGTACAGCAGGCTGGAATAGAGAACTGGAGGCACAAAAGGTAAAGATCACAGGTTGAGATAAGAAAAATTTACTGGAAACAGCAGTGAGATAGTAAATGAACAGTAACAGCAGCAATATTAATAACAAAAGTGCACAAAAGAGAGAGAGTGATTCATCTACAAATGGCTCACTGACCACAGCAACACCAACCTGACTGTTCCCTCCAGCTTGGAAACAGTGTTATCCCACCACTCCCTCTGGCTTTCAAGCTGGCGCCATCCCACTGCTCTGTCCACCATGCTTACTTGACTTGAAGGAACCCCTTCTCCTTGGAAAAGACTCTCTTCCCCTCATCCCCTGCAACACTGTGAGGTTTTATAGAATAACCTCCAGGTCTTAGCCATCCCCCCTCCTGGCTACTGCAGAAATTAACCCCTGTCTTGGCCAGAATCAAGACAGTAGGTGTGTATGTAACGTACACCGACGCACTCAGCAGGGTACACTTATATCTAGAATAATGACATGTCCCATGGTTGTGATCCATAGTTACCAAACAAAGATGCTTGTTAGACCACACTGCATCTTCTATGCCTTTTGCACAGGAGGTAAGACGCAAAATAAGCGGATGGTGTGTGCATTGTCTCATGCTGCTGTGAATTCAGGATGTAGCTGGGGGTACTGGCAAGGACTTGGGCTTTAGGAAACCCTGCTGGAGAAGCACCCTTGGCAAATTGAACATGCTGCCTTTCAGACCCCTGTGAATTAAAATACACTTGAAGAAAATGAAAGTTTCTGAAAACTGAAATTAAAAAGTCCAACTTAAGGGCATCTAAGTTATGACAAAACAGCACAAAATTTTCATGCACGTAGCCAGTTTGGGAATAAAGGGTGGCAATAACTGTTGATAAAGGAAGACATCATGTTTTACACAGCAGTAGTAAAAAAAAAAGTTTAAAGTGGTAGGAGTTACATAAATGTTAAATTATGGTGAACAAAATATTGATTCAGTGATGTCAACGGTGCTAAGTTTGAGGAGTTATTCTTGAATGCATACTAAAGTCTGTTATTAAAATAATTTTTGGTTTTTTTGGAAGACTTTTAAAAAACCCATATGAGAAGTTTTTCTGCAAACTGAAATGAAACCCACTTGCATTTCTTGAAGTACAAGGGTTTAGGAAGCAAGAGGATATCCAAAAGGAATTATCAGTTATGATAGCTAGAACTGGGATGCTGAGACATGGGTAGGTGTTCTGTATTTCTCTGATCCCTGTTGTTTTGTGCAGTTGTGAGCACTGAGACATCATTCATAAAACTCTGTCAGCGTTTACTCAGGACCTGAGTGTTAATCTGGCTTTAAGTTCAGCTCCAAATTTTGCATTAGTCTCTATTTTAAACCAATAAACCTGTATCTGCCTCATCTGGTCTGTATTTATTAGGATTATTTTATGTGCATTTTTTTTTTAAAGTATACTTTATGTAAGAGGACCTCTTACCTCCAAGTAGTTCATCTTATAAGGAGCAGAGTATTTATGAAGATTTGGGACCCAGTTTGATCTCATTTATACTGATGTAAATAAAGAGCTATGATTTCAGATTGGCACTTAGTTAAATACTAACTCTTGTGCTGTTTTTTTCTGCACACCATTTTCTGTCCTCACACTGACAAATTAAGTTTCACTTTAATGATACTGTAACTTACCACTGTCATCTCTTCTGATTTGCAGATGGGCTTCTTCCGCCGGAGATATAAAGAAATTATTGAGGCCGAAAAGAGCAGAAAGGAGAATGAAGATAGTTGGAACTGGGTCCAGAAAAACCAGTGAACTGCCCATGAAAACTAAAGCCCAGTCATGTGACACGTGCTCACTAGCCTACAGGTCCTGCTCTCATATCTTCCATATGTGGAAGAAGGAATCTTCTCCAGATTTTTCGGAGACCCCATTGATGCTGTGTCTTTATCACTCAAAAAAACTAGGGAACATATCCTGAGGCAACCACTGTAGCCATGTCAGGTGACTGGAGCAATTCATACTTCATTTAAGAGTTGAACTTTGAACTTTGGTAACCAAGCTGCAGTGCAGAGCAATATTTATGAATCCAACTATGTGGTATACCCTCAGGGGAAGACTGTTACCTAAAAATATATTTTATAAATATAAGCTTTTTATATTGAGTATGTCTTTATATTTGTATCGATGTTTTATAATTTCTAGTGAATAGTATATAGCTCACTCAAGCACTGATATCTGGCTAAATCTTTGGAAATACATATATGTATATATAAATTCTATTGTACTTTTAAACTTCAATGCGAGAGAAAAGAGATGTGCAGAGAAAAGTGACTGAAATCCTCATATGCTTAATTCACAAGGCTTGGTAATATTTTATATAGAACATTTAATGGAAATAAGCCAAAATCTTTTCACTGTCTCTTTTTTTGAGTTGAACTTGATATTTGATTTATAAGCTAAAGAACCTAAAGTTTTTCACAGTTGTGACAGTTGTGATGTTCTGGATCTTGAGTCAGTCCTTTACTGGCCTAAATGGGAGAGGATGAAAACGCTTCCTCAGTGATATGTAGCAAGATGTAGATTGCTTTGGTTCACTGAAAAATGTATCACAGAATGTTTTCCTTTGGAAATTTATCTCTTGCAGTCTCTAGGATTTTTATACTAGTCTAAGATTGTACAACTGAGATACCAGAAGGATATAACTGGGCCAAGCATTATGGCATTGACAAATTCCTTGGAATAAAAAAAAAAAATTAATGGAGCCATATTAGTATTAAGAGGGATATTTTTAAAGCTGCTGTTCACAATTGTTATCTGTTGCTATCAAATCAAGTGATAAATTGCTACATCTCTGCCTTGTGAGTTACATATGTAAGTCATGGGTTTGTTTATGTGATAATTTTAAGAGAAATAAGTAGATGCAAGACTTGTTTGTATCTTTGGATCTCAAGATTCCCTGTCTAGGTGTTCCAAGTACTGAATGTCATCCTTCTTCAAGCGTTAAGAAGGGAGTTTAGTCAAGGTGCAGATGTTACTGGATCTCAGATTTCCACTTTGGTTGCTGATAATTACTTAATCATTTGTTGAATTAGAAGAGACATAGTTGTAATTAATTCAACCATGTTTCTTTAAAAAGAGCTCTTGGATTTCTGAATAGAAATAGTGGAACTCTGTAAGACTTGGGTTTAGATTCTACTTGTATTTTGCACTTTGTGTAAATAAGAAGTAAATGTCATGTTGGTATAAAATCCATAAAAAGGAAAGAAAGGTCAACCTCATTGGTAGAAAGTGAAACCAGGATTGAAAGGTTGCAGGATGTCTTATTCCTTAAAGGTATGGTAAAAGAACATTATATCCACTATAGCTTCAAATTTTAAAAATTGAACTCATCCATATTCCTGTTTGCTTTTTACCCCCGTGGCATTAAGTGTCTTCTATTACTACAGTATTGATCAATATTTATTAACTATTAACTATCTGCATGCATTAGGGAGAAAATAGTTTTAAAGTGAATTAAGTTTATTGACATAACATCTGACAAGAAAAGCTATTGGTCTATTCAGTTATTATTCTTAAAACAATCACTGGTGACTTGACACATTCTGTGTAACAAATGATCATTTAAGCCAGAATCCAAGGCAAAGTCCTGTTATAATCACATGTAGCAGAGTACAGATTCTTCATCAGAGTGCAAAAACAAGAGGCTCGTGGTATTTGACTGCACTATTGTATTATCACAGAGAAATAGAATGATAGAAAGCCTTGGGTTGGAAGGGATAATAAAGATCTAATTCCAAGCCCCTGTCATGTACAGGGAAGCCTTTCACTAGATCAGGTTGCTCAAAGCCCTATCCAGGCTGGCCTTGAGCACTTCCAGAGATGGGGCATCCATAACTTCTTTAGGCAACCTCTTTCAGTGCCTCACCATCTCCACAGTAAAGAATTCTCTCCTAATACCTAATCTGAACCTGCCTCTAGCATTAGAAGCTGATGAATTCCTCACAGTATGATATTTCTGACATCAGTTAGTTTTGCTGGTATCTTAACCTAATTTGTTTGGGCTTTTCTGTTACAAAATATCTAAGCTGGACAGAAACTGGATACGAGATTGAATCTCAGCTATGAATTGAAAAAGAAACTGCTTTAAGTACTCCCTGAAAAAAAAAAAAAAGGAGTCTGTTTATTAGCTGTAAGAACCTTCAGTATCCACCCTCTTTAAAACTGAGCCCCTCGAAAATTCTTAAAAAGTAAATTTGCTGAAAAAATAGTTCAAGGAACAAGTGAAATTATTTGTGAATTTAACTGTATTTAAAAGTTTCTATCTGAAAAAAAAAAGGAGGAAGTTCCCTTTGAAAAGTTGAAATGCTTAATTACCATTTTTAAATAGAAATTTATTTTAAAATCTGCCAAAAATGTTTCATTAAAATATTTTAAAAATAAAAATTATTTATTCTTTGAGACATCTTTTAAAAGTATATAAAGAAAAGACTTAGAAAAGGTAAAATACCCATTTAACATTTTATATTTTGTTGGACTTTTTTTTGTTTTGTCTCAAGGCAAAATGGTCTTTCTTATTTCCTTAAAGTAAAAAACAAACAAAATTAAATCCCATTTGATTGAGCCCATACTGGACTTTTTGGATTTCTGACCTGAATTGTCAGAGAATTGATCCAGCTCATCCCTTAATGAAAATCTAGTTGTTGGCCAGATGAGTGCCATGTTCTTGAAACGATCCACAAATTCTTAGTATTATCACTGTTAGGCCCTCAGTAGATCTGTTGTAACATGGGGGTTTGTTTTTATATGTATACTCTCCATATTTTTTTCTTTCTTTTACGTTTTTTCTTTTTAGTCAAGTTCTATTGTGGCTCTTGCATGCTTCCAGTTAGGATACTCAGATATGACAATGAAACATATCAATCCTTCATATTAAAATATTGTAGATGCACCTTTTCACTCCTTAAAAAGCAGCCAAACAAAAAGTCCCACTAATATCAGTTGGTTGCAATCATTTTTTAATCCCAAAATCTTACAAAAAAGTAATATCTGCTGGTTTGGTTGGTTGTTTTGTTGTTTTGTTTTAATTAGGAGACCATTATAAATATAATTGTATCAAAATCTGGAGACATGGTTACTTTGGAAATTGCATCAGGGCTCTAAGGTTCCCATGTGTCAGCTGCTTGTTAGTTTCTTTGTATTGTTTTAATTCTGCAGCAGCTGGAGGTAATCATTATACAAGTTCTCTCTGGTTAATCCATTTTGAGACAATGTCTTTAGTTGTCTTGGACAAGTTCATTGAAAGGTTTGCTAAATTGACGTTGTCTTTTTTTTTCCATCGGGTTCACATTGCACTATCTCTAAGCTATGCAGGAGAAAGCTTAGAAGTGGGGCAGTAACATTTTCAAATGCATCCTCTGGCATCTGAGAGATCTGAAGCTTGCAATGTGTCTTCTTACAAATAGTACCCCTGAAGTTGTTTTTAGGACAGGAAGAAAACAATCTCAGAAAAATACCATGAGGAAGAAAGGAGGGGGAATTAAATAAGAAAATCATTTAATGCAAAGCCTGTGCTTTTGCAACCCCATTTAGTTTCCATCATGACGTCAAGAAGATCACAGTTATTTCATAGTTTTGGTGGTCCACAGCACAGTGGGCTTTCACTTCCCAAGAGATGAGAGCATTTGCCACCTTTCACAGCATTTTTGTGTCCATTTAATTTGAAAACCAAGGGTCTTGGAGGTGAATTTGCATTGATTCTCCTCAAGCAACAACACAACTATTGTGCTCTAAGACTGTCACTAGAATGCTCTGGTACTTGGCCATTGTAGCTAACAAAAATACCTGCTATTTTTTCTGAATAAACCTGGTTTTTTTATTTATGAGTTTATAATAAAGAAGTCAGCAAACTGTAGAAAATACTGGAGCAGACTCTGAGTTGAAGTCATCTCACAGGTTGCTTGGGTTATCTGAGAGAAATTATGCCTGATGTGAACCCCAAGCCTGTAAACTACTTAAGCAATCCTCTCATCTCTAAGTGGCAAAGGCATTTGCAATGCCAAGCATAACAGTGAGAACAGCCCTGTCTGCCTTAATACATGAATGGAAATGACTCCACATACTAAGTCAGTGATGTGCACGTAGCCCAGCTTGCTGAAAGCAATAGTTACACAAAGACTGTCTTTGACAATATTTAATTTTGACTTTCCTGAATTTCTTCTGTTTGTGAGCACATTTCAGAGTCTTGCACAAGTTTGAAGCATAGTATCCATGAGGCAGGGCAATTTACAATATTGCCTTCACTAAAGGACTAAGGGAGTCATGGAACGAATTTCTGTCCTTTGTCCAGGTTCACCCGCTTCTATAGTTTCTTGGATAAAAATGAAAGTAAATTTTTTTCATTTAGTGTGCCTTGATTAAATTGACATGAAGACTGTAATTGCTTTTGGAGCTTGGTTTGCATATGCACTAGAGTACCTGTACCATTGTCACTTGTTTTTCTCAGAATGTCACTGCTTATGTATTATAAAATTGTATGTTTCTTTTTGTGATCTTGTGGTTGAAAGACTGTGTGCACTCTCACTGATGTCACCTGTATTTAGAAGCTTATGTTCACTTGTATTCTAATTAACTTGCACTGTTTTGGAAATGTCAAGTTTACAAAAATACAGTTTTTTTGAATAAAAAATGGCTGCAAAATTATCATAATAATATCATTTTGTTAGTTATTGTCCTTGTCCAGCTCAAGTATTTTTCCATTAATTGGGTGAGACACTTTCTCCTGTATGTTTGAATTAAATAGTATTAAATTAATTTAATTAAATGTGTTCATCTGAGCATGGATAATAGGCATCTTTTATCTTAATTCTAGGACTTTTAAAATCAAGCTATTTGGAGACTAAGAGTACAACTAGCTTGACTACAATATTTTTAAATCGTGGAAATAAAGGTAGTGAGAATTATTTATATTTCATCAACATTGCTCTACCAACATCAAATGAAACCCCATGTGATCATGATACTGGCCTATGATAATAAGTGTCAAATGGTGGTAAGATAAGTCAACCAGGCTTCTGTTTCAATCTATGAATCTGGTTGAAAGTCAAATTATTCAGCTCATGTATTTTTTCCTGCAAAGATTTATATTCCATAGTAGCTGGAATATAGTAGCTAAATAATATATTTGAAAGAATATTTTCTACTCTGTATATCCCCATGCTTAGCCTGTCAAAGGGAGTAGGAGCTGGATATAAGGTTTTACTTCTACTAAGTGTTTCAGTGTTCTACAGCCGTAAAAAAGCAATCTGTTTCCTCTGCATTAGACTGTTGTCTCTATATCTAAGAACAGGCTGGGTAGAGTTAGGTCCTAACCTGTGACTCAGAGCACATTTGTACTGGTGGAAGACAACAGCTTTACATACCACAGTTCCAAAGTCATTAGGAGAGCTCCAAGTAGATGTGGGTTCTGGCATGTAGGTAGCACCCTTCAAAGTAAAAACAAATGTTGTCAGTCAGGAAGGCTTTCTTTAGGAGGGAAAAAAGTTAAGCAAAAGTGGAGAATGGTGCTGCCAAGAGGAATGCAATGCCCAGTTTGCTTTTGGAGATTAGTGGAAGCCTTAGTGCTGCAGCAGGTGAAAGAATAACCAGAGACTTTTGGATGTACTAACATCCCTTCATTATTGTGTAAACAAGCCTGTGTGTGTGTAAGCAGGCGATGCCCATTCCTTTGTGGGGACTGAGGACTGATAAGCTAACACTGCCCTCTGTGGGGCTTGCTCTCCTCTTGTCTTTTCGATGAGCAGAGAACAGCCGTTTGTACATAGCAGGATTTTGCATGCTACCTTCCCCCAAATGGCCTTTAAGAAACCTCTTAGGACTTCTATGAGAAAGTGGCTTTGTTTTAGAAATCAAACCCACAACCTTTAGCAGATTTGTTTCTTCCAGTTTTACCAAGAAAGGAAGAATAAGATCAAAACTAGATCAAAAATCAAGAAAAGTAAGATCTTGTTTTACAATGGAAAAACCATCTCACTTGTTAGCATGCTGCTCAGCCTGGCTCATGTGTAGGATTGGAGCTGGTCTGACATTTTGGCTTTCTATACTGGCTGTTGGCCTGCTCTTTGGACTGGACACAAGTCTCTTTGCTAAATCTTTTCCATATAGTAGTAAAATACCCCATGAGAAAAATGAGACTTTTCCCCACACTTTTTGGGTCTCATGGGGTGCATACTGACCTGAGTAGTCCTAGGTAAGATGTTTTGATTGGATTACTTTTGAGTTCCCATAACACTCTGGATAATTAAGTTCCAGAATGCTGAATGGCAGTGTCATGGGAGTCAGTAAAGTTACAAAGTAGATTTTAATGTCCTCTTACCCCAGCTGGCTTACTACCAGAACTAAAATACAATAGAAGCAGTTATTTTATGCATATTCAAATATACAAATAGATTTAAAGTCATATGACTGCTTACTACAGCACATCCAAGGTTTCAATATTTCAAATGGCTGCAAATGGAAATTTTATTTGCAAGTGGTTTTGACAGTAGTAAAGAATAATAGTGGAGGGATGAATCATCTTAATAAAAGAGCAGTGGAAATTAGTTTTTCATGTCTTGGTCATGCTTTCCTGTAACTGTCCAAAATTATTAATTCACATATTTCTAGTTCATTTTTTCTTTGCAGTTGATGTAGTTAGTGTCATTTGAATGCCTGAATTTCTAGATATGCAATGTTTTAGTAAGTTAACCAGCGGTTCAGAAGCTGTAAAGAATCAGAAATAAATGAAGTAGTAACCTTGAGCAGAGATCTCCTTGCTGCAGACAGGTATTGAGGTATGATATATTGACTTCCATGAAATTATTCTAGATTTATACTAACAAAAGTGAGAAGGGACTCGGGCTCCCTTGAAGCTGAAGGACACACATCACGGGACAAGCTTTACACTAATTTGCGTAAGTGGTAAAGTGTGATAATTTCTGTCATTTAAGCTGTATTCCTCTAGGTTTGCTATCTGAGAGCTGTGCAATTCAATCTTAATGCTGCTGCTCTGTGCTATATTCAGAAAAAGAATAGTAAAGAAGGTGATCACTTTATCCAGCAAAGAGACCACAAAGAGAGATTGCATTCTGTCCTATGTCAGTCTCTCAGGGCAGGTGAGCCTCTTGGAAACTGGATGTGCAGAGGCCCCTTTACTTTTGTCTAAAATAATCAGATTGATGACTAAAATTCCTATTAATGGTTTTTTGTGTTGATTGTAGGTAAATGGCACAGAATAGGAAACTGGCAAAAAACCTAGTAAGAGATCAGAATACCTGCTCATTATTAAATTCGTGAAATCTCTATATAAGATTGGATAGAAGATTATATAATCTTCTGGGGTAAAATAATTTTCTCCATTTTAATTTTCAGGGCGGAGGATAAGAAATCAAATCTAACAGTTTGTGAAAATACAAGGGTTTTTTGTGAGATTGCCAAGTGCCAAAATCATGTTGTTCTGTTTCTTAGCTCAAGACCGTGTCCCTGAGATGGCTTCATCAAAGGGGAGACCCATGTTCCACCTTGACCAGGTGGCACATGTTATGCTACAATAACCTTCTCTCATACTCTACTGCCTGCTCAGCTGTGCTTTGTCCCACTCTTACTCCCATTCTACAGACACCACCAGTTTTTCTCCTCGCCTGTTCTTAAGTTTCTCCTCTGCTTCATAAGTGTTATTATCCTTTTCTCTCAATTTGTCTGAATAATAGGACTAACTTAAATTTAAGTGATTTTCCCACCTTGCACTTAGTTTGAAATATGTCACTGTTGTTTCAGACTGAAACAAAAATTTGTGCTGGAAACTTGGCAGTTTTCCCAAATACATCAGCAGTTCTGAGGCCTATGGGAGGTTCATAAGGAACTGTGGTCCTCTTCTCAGCCATCTTTTCATTTAACTTATTAGCCAGGTTGAAGTGTACCTTGTCAAATCACTAATGATTGTGAAATCTGAGGGAGGGACCTAGATGATAGATAGACAGACAGACAAGACAGACAGACATGTATATGACTAAAACTTATTTTGAAAGTGGACAAATCATATAAAAAGGCCAAGCCTGCCAAAGCCTCAACCCTTCAAAATAGCATACACATTTTGTTTGGAAAGTCTGAAATGCAGTTAGGAACATAGAACTGGACAGTTCACAATTTCAGTATCTTAATTTCATTGGCAACTACTACATATATTTCCTTTTATGAACTGACCAAACATCAGTAGAACCAGTTACATTTCTTTTCCTTATTATTGTTGCTCAAGACTATTCAAGCACCTTGTTTTGATGGCGCTTTTAATTGTCATTTTCTTCCCAATTTGTTCTCTTACCCTCAAGGTCTTTTAATTTAAAGAGTTCCTTTCCTTCATTCCTGTTCTGAATTGATCTTTCTTGAATACAAACAACCAGAAGAAGACAATACTTCCCAGGTGAGGTACCAAATTCCTTGTCCAATGCCTTGTACATCACATATACACAAGACTGGCTCTTCTGGCTTCATGAAGGCTACAAGTTCTCTATGAGATGTGTTGAATGACAAGAGACAAAAAACTAGCACAAATGACCTTTCTCAAGAGCTTTTCATCCACTGTTTTGTGAAGACTGGAATCCAAATATTGTAGGTACACCACAGAGAAGATTGTTAGAGATGAACGGAACCATCCTATGACTTTGTTTGCAGATCTTTGGACTATGATGCCTCCTTGCTAGGTGAGCTGGAAGGGAATCAGAAAGGTTCTCTGTGGGAGGCTTTGGCTGTATTTTAACAGAAATTAACTGAAACTGACCACACCAAGAAGGTCATTCCAATGGCTGAGTGTTCTTTTGTGTCTAATTAGAATCTTCTCAGAAACAATATTTACCCACAGCCCCTCATCTTTCACATATGACTCCTTATAAAAAGGAAATCTCCATCTTCTTTTTAGACACATGACGACAAGGTTTCCGCTTTCTTTTCTCAAGGTTAAATGAACCCAGTTCTCTCAGCCTTTCCTCATATGGCAAGTTTCCCAGTCCTTTTATTAATTTACCTTCATATGCACTGGAAATGTTATTTTAACTTATTTATTTGGTTAATCTTCTTCACATACTTCTGAGTGATGGCATACCATATAGAGAACATAGTTTTACAACAGGGTGATAAAATCTCAACAGTGCTTTTAAAAATATGACTTTCTTTGGTGACAGATAACAAAAGCTGGTATGAAAGTGTGGGAAGACGGCTAGGGGTAAAAATTAGAGGAAACTAAGAGTTATAGGGTAAAATGCAGTGCTATTCCCTGGATGGAACACAGTCAACATGCTCCATGAGGACTCCCCATACAGCAATAAGCATCTGCTACAAGGGATGGAACTGAAGGTGGAGTGGAGACGCTGCAGCCTCCCTCCATAGAAATCCTTATGGGGCAGGGAACTTAATGGGACTTTGTAGTTCATAAGACTACATAGCACCTGTCAAATAAGGGAGATAGACAATGTCCTCCTGCTGGGGAATTCTTGATGGATTAAACTGCATCTGTAATGGTACAGAATCCTATGGTTCTCATTAAGAGGTAATGCATGCACCTTCATACTGGCAGAATGGGTCTGCCCTCAGTGGTTAAGGTATTTATATGTAAACTGTGACAGTTCTGGAACATGGAGGACACATGGGAAAATGAATTTTACCTCTTTGATTTCCCTTTCAGTGTGAAACTCACTGACAAGTAAAAGAAAAATCCACTAGTGATTATTAAAAAAAA